CAAAGGGCCACGCATGATGAAGACTAAAAACTGACCACTATATTTAGCAACGTGGGGTCACTGATGGCCTTGACAGAGCAGATTCCATAGAGCGAGGGATAAGGGGAAAATTCAGAGTGGGTGCAAAAGGAGATGGCTCAAGAGAATATGCAGACAGTGAGTTTCAACTACTCATTAAAGATTTGCTGCAAAGACATGGGGAGGCAATTGGTGGGGGCGAATTAGGGTCAAGGAGAGCTGTCTGTTTCTTTTAAGAGGATGGACTTTTATATACTGATAGGAGACAACTAGCAGAACAAAGTAGATGAGGTAGTGACAGAGAGGATCGATGTGGGAGTGACAGCCTGGAGAAGATTGGATGGATAGGCCCCCTGGCGACTTTTGGAGGATCTGGTTTTCAATGTCACCTGTAATAAGAGGTAGGGCAGTGAGAGTGAGGTCACAGACATCAGAAGGCGAGTGGATGTGCTGGGAGTTGCTGGTGAAAGTTCTCTTCTGTTGGCTTCAGTTTGCTTGGCCAAAGTAGAAAAGTAAACTTACCAGCTGAGGAACGAGGAGGAAGAGTTACTGGAGTCATGAGCAGAAGATACGAAAAAGCCTTCAGGGACAATGGGACAGTGAAAAGAGCAGAGGGAGACATGGGGAGTGTGCTCTCAGAAAGTTACATTTTATCTTTGAGGTCCCCAAGTGTTTGAAGTGTGATTGCCCTTCCTGCTGTCTACGAAATAAAAATTAATTATGGTTCAGGGAAAATGCTATTTCATTCTAAGAGGCTGCCTGTTTCTCAGGAATGGTCATCTTAAGCTGCAAACATTACAAAAATGTTGAAAAGAAGAACTTGTGTACCCAATGACCCACTATTGTCTATAAATTCGGTTGCTATTTAGTTCCCCTACCAATACCACAGAACCGATACTGCCTAGGATGGAGATACATCGATGCTTAAATGGAAATGAGATCTGTATCTTTTTCCTAAACTCCATGGCTTCCTTAACATCCCATTCCCCTTGGAATTTAGGGACGTCCGGTATAAGAAATGAGAAACAGTTTGAGAAAATCCAGGCTCAGAATTACACAGCACAACCTCAGCTCAGAAGTTTACAGCCTTAAAAATATTTAGAAGCAAAACTCCGTAACTACTCTTAAAGAATTTTGCAAACCTGGGCCTGCCCAGATGTTTCCAAACTGGAAAGGTACTCCAATCACTTGACTGGTACGGGAACCAGAGGCTGGTCAGCCTTTTCTGTAAAAGCCAGAGAGTAAATATTTTCAGTTTTGCAGATCATTTTGTTGTAACCATGCAGGTCTGCAATAAGAAAGCTAAGAGCAATAGGAGACAGGAAACAAATCGGCATGATCACACCCTCCCTTCCACTCAGGGCAGCTTCTCTGTGGTGGGGAGCTTTACCACAATTACTTGTTTCTTTGTTTCCATTGGTTTCTTTGTTTCCACCTTACTGCTCAAGCTCAGAACTTCAAGTGAGCCTGGTCCTTCAGCATCCATGCAGAGAGAAGGCTGAGCGGGGTGGGGACTCCACCTGACAGAGAAGAGAGATGGCTTGTCACCATGACATGAGACAATCACACCTTCCGGGGTGAAAGGGAACACAGATAAGCAATGGGCACAGCAGTGGGACCCCTGGGTCACCTACCAGGCTTGCTCTCCCTCCACGGCCACCCTGGGGACCTGGGGGGTGTTGGGACTCAGCTACAGTGATTAGACTGAGGGGACTCAGGATAAAGGACCCTCTGCCCCCACACCGGGTTCCAAGCGCAGCCCCTCTAAGTCTACCCTCTGAGTTTCTGGAACTCAGCAGGAAGAATACATGGTCAGGCCAGACCCAGAGCCCAAGCCAAACACGACAGAGGTCACGTGGGATTGTAACCCCGTGCTCAGTGGTCAGGGTCTCCTTGCAAATCTGTGGAAATCCTTGTTCCACCTCATTCCTGGGAGAAACCCCAGATCTCCTCTTGCTCTGTCTGTTCTTTTCTTGAGGCTATTGTCCTGGAGGGATGCAGAGTCCTTGAACCTGGCCCTCCAAACTTACATAAGCAGCCTCTTCAA